GGCTGCCCATGGGTCTATTATGGCCTGGGCTGAGATGAGAAGCTGGAGTGAAACAACTTTGGTCCATGTGTCTCTTCCTCTAGCAGGCTAGGTCAGGAACACTCTCACAGCAAAGGAAGACTAGCAACAGAGAAGCTGAAATGCACAAGTTTTTATTCAACATTTGGCTAACATTAATCAAAACAAGTCATATGAGGCACTGAGAGTCAAGGAGGGACCATGTCCCTTTTCTTGATTAGAGAGGATGCAAAGCAACATTGCAAAGGAAGACGACATGGGAAGGGGTAAAGAATTTGGGCCATTAGAGCCATATTTGTACCATACATGCATGCACATACACATATACATACTTACGTACGGGATTTGTCATTGTTTATTTTGTTTTAATGGGATCCTATTATCCTACATCTTATTTTGCATTTCTTACCTGTAGATTGTGGAAAATTTTGGCTGGTAGTTATTTACATCTTTCTTTTAGGTGCCTGTGTAATACTCCATTACGTATTCTTATTCTCTTCCAGATAAATAACAAAATGTACTATTACCATTTATCAAGTACATCATAACTTTCCTATTAATTTAAGATACTTCCCAAGACATATATTAAAATTCCATATATACTCGAATATATTTTTCTAGTCTTTTCCATTGATCAGAAAATAATAGTAATTATTATTATTATTGTAGTGATAAAAGTAAATAGGGAATATAATAATAATACTTGATTCAAAGTGCCGTGAGGATAAATATGAAGTCTGGAAACAGTTCTTTGTAGATAAGTATAGCATGTAGGCTATTAATATTATTGTCACCAATATAGTAATTATTACTATTAGCAACACAACTTTGAGAAAGTTCCTAAGTGCTGAAAACTTCAATCTCTATTTGAAAGTGGCAGTAATAATAGTTACTTGCAAGTTCATTTAAAAAATAATTGGTAAGATGTAAATGTAGATAATATAGATGTATATAATTAGATGTATAGGTTATCTATTTTTTTCTATTTTATGCTTACTAAATATACTAATTTAAAAAAATGGACACCAAAATAATTGCAAGCTCACTGTTTACTTTTTTTGTTTGACCTTAGAATAAAATATTATAAACTGTAAATTCACATTTTTATTTATTTTCATTTACAGCTTTGCTCTTATCAAGGAAATAGACCCAAGGTACTATGACTATGTAACGATGGAATGTGTTAAGAATAGCTAATCTCCACTGCGTTCACTGAAAATCACAGAAAATATAAATAAAATGATGTCAGTTTTAATAAACCTAAAAAAATTAAAATAATATATTTGCATATCATTTTTCACTGTTGGTACTTGTGTGTTGGTACAATTTTCATATACACATACTCACTTCCATTATGTATTGTGCGGCTTCTAGTGCATCCTGGTATAATTTATTTTAATGAGGCAAACCATCTTATTACAATATATTTTTACCAAAATTATCTTTTAGAGATTTTAGCTGTGAAGGAATTTTCCAGTATATTAGCTGGTTGGCTTGACCCCAGAATTCTGACAAGGAAACAGCCATAGAGCTGATTTTCCAAAAATCGTCAGTAAAGAAAATATGTTGAGACCTGTAAAGATGCATATTTTAGTGTTATGATTTATTATGTCTATATTCTGAGATTGGGAAAAATGGACAATGAGTTAGCTAGCACTAAAATTATGTACTTATTTCTGTTTCTTTATTGAATGAAATATTATCACTGGCAGCTTTTCAGCTTTTACCACTGAGCTTAAAACCTTGAACTAAATATACCTTTACAGACTCATTCAAAATTTTCATCCATGGATAATCTTAGACAATATTCTTGAAATATTCATTAAGGTTATTATCTAAGAACTGTCATGTTTCAACATTTCATTTTGTCCTAAAAATGATATTTGTAGGTTTTGTTTGCTTTTAAAATCTGTACGTCATTTTGCCTCATCTCCAAAATTTTAGCAGTCCTAAGGTATTAGGGAGAAATGTTATTTCTTTTTGTAAGTAATTAAAATGACTCTGTAGTTTGTGGGCATGAGGCTCTCTTTCAACCAAAATGTCCTGATATTATTTTGGGAAGGCAGCTAAGCACAGGCGTTAGCAACATCCTCTTTGTTCTCAAACTACCCAAGGATAAATCTCACCCTCACCCTCCTGAGGGTTACTTAACATCGCCACGCCTTAGTTGTCTCTCTCTACACTGGGACCACTAACAGAACCTACTTCATAATATTGTCAGAAGGATTAAATGAGTGCACTATGTTACAATATGCCTGGTACATAGTAAGAAAAAAATTTGTCACCTATTACTGCTTTTGTTGTGTTTGTGCTATTAAATGAAGTCACTGCCAAAGGTAGCAAATATGGGCTCTGCTTTTATAAATTTGTCTATACTTTGAAATATATCTGAAAGCTGTCCACACTGAGTAAATATGATCTCTTTATAGCCAGGCATATATATTTAAGAAAGAAAATAAAATACATCATCCAATTATCCCAGTGTGATGACTATTTATGTATGTGATGTGTCTGAATTTCAGAAACCTAAGTTGTACTCTCAGTATATGAATTAGTCATGTTTGGGAGCTAATCTGACACTCTGTTACTTTTGTAACTTACAATTTCAGTAAACTGTGTAGTTCTGGTGTGTGTGTGTAGGTTAATTTACTTATAAAGTGTTCTGTTTACTAGCAAACGCATTAGATACTTAAAACTTTTTTTGCTTTTATTAAGGTCAACTATTGAATATTGACAAATTTTTAAACCCTGAATTAGTTAATGGTTAATTTGTATCATGTACTTTGTTTCTATAATGAAAGAACAGTATTTGGACCCTCTTTTTCATATCTGCCATTGATGTTTTGGATGATAATTGTTCGTTATTTTGAACCCACTTTCATCCTGTCTCAATATCCATCCAAAGTTGATCTTTTTAATAGTTACCAACTCCTTGATCTTCTCACTTTTGTTTATAGATTGATAGAATCTACCACATCTTCAGCACAACACAGAATCTTTAATTAATACAAAAATCTGTCAGTAGTACCATGCAAAATTTATCTACAAGAGTATGAGTAATACCTGATTTTTGGCTGCCAACAAATAAAAAGAAAAGAACTAAGACTCATTGGTTTAAGTACATGATCTGTCAAAAATGAATCATAGGCAATTAAAATGGATACTTATAGAAATGGATTTTTTTTAAGTTACTCAAAAAGCAGAATGACTCCAAGTTTGTTTTTCTTCTTTTAAGACAATTGAGATTCTAAGTACTAATGCAGCTTATACTGTGTGTGGTATAAACATGTATTTAACTGTGGTGTATTTTAAAATCTTCATAATACAATATTCAAATACAAAATGCATTTATCATGAGTCACCACAAATCATACTCATATTTACTACAAGACATTGATAAAACACTGATACACAAAGAAATTGTTTCTATATTGTATATGTCTGGGCTTGTAAACTATCCTTCTGTTAAAGGGATGGTGATAAGAAGGACTCTACAGAAACTACTTTTTCTTTAAAGAAGCTATAGAATAATAAAATATTACAGTTGCCTTAGCCCTAGTTTTTATCTAATACAACTTTATTTCACAACTGAATCCAATACACCTAATTTAGTGACTGTCATAGATTAGGAAAGTGAAAAATATTTGTTGAATGAAGTGGATTGTATTTCTCAGTAACACAAAAGTACTTATGGAAAGATACAAAAAAAAAAAAAATAGGTCTCTGGAATCCCAATCATTTTCAAAATGGGTGGATAAAGCCACAATCAAATTGTTTTCAATAAGAGCTAATTTTTGTGTGTGTTTACTAGGACTATATTTAAATACACACATACGTGTATAAATATGTACCTAATTCCATATCTACCCAGAGATGAAAGACATTTTAAAAAGTACATCTTCTCTGAAACAGGTTTTAACTCAACCAATATGCGAGAGATTTTACTAACTGAGTCAACTTCCAACTGCACTTAGTCACTGACTTTGAAAGTACTTGAAAATTCTTTGAAAGTACTTGATTTGAAAGTGATTTTGAAAGATGGCAATGATAAGAAGACATATCATTTAGTCTTTCCCACAGCACTGCAACTCATATAATTACAATTTTTTGGTTATTTATTTCACTTCTCTCTGACCTATCTCTTCTCCATTAGTCAACTATACAATTTATATATATTCCATCATATATGTGCCTCTATCTTTCTATCTACAGATAAGCTTTCTTATTTCCATAGGCAGAATTATTAATGTGATTTTCTAAAGAGGGAATTATTACAAATAAGTTCTATCTCCATGTGGAATTTCTACGTTATGATCCAAAGATTCAAGAACAATAGTCGGGCAAATTATACTTTTGGGTTCTTTTTAAATTGTCAATAGTGTTCCTTAATAATTAATAAGCTGTAAATGATCTCTGTGGATTTTTAATACAGATATATGTATTGATTAAGCACCACATAGAGTCATTCTTCATTTGTCTCTACCTACTTATGGCAGATCTGGTCAGCAAGAAAAGACAGCTACAGAAGACAAAGTGCATAAAAAAATATGGAGAAGAACCTCAGAAAAATAAGGCAAGCACGATGTGGGGGTGGAGGAGAGGAGGGAAGAAGGGAGGGAGGGAAGGAGAGAGAGAGAGAGACAGTTTTCCCTAAATTCCATTTCCGAAGGATACAATTGCCTCCCCTCCAAGAATGAATTATTACAGTTGGAATCTATTAGATAGTTATGTATTATCTATTAGTATTATAGAATAATATATAAAAAAGTTTAATTAAATGTGATTACACAATATATGCTTATTTTTCTAAATTGTACTGTTGACTACATGAAGTTCAATTTCCAACATATAAAATTAGAAATTGCATACTATTTCATGCAAATAAAATTATGTAAAAGACCAAAATCCCATATTCTTAGCATTTTCATATGGAGAAAAATTATAATTTAATAACACATTTCTCTCAATGAAAGAAAGTTAGATAGAACAACATAAATTTGCAATATTCAGATACATTCAGGGATAAATGAGTATATTATGGAGTATTTTAGCATGCAATGAAGCTATCTCATTTGGATGTAAGTTAAAAATAGTGACTACTAAAGGGAAATAAATTTCTCTTTTTTATAAATTACAAATCACTGTATATTCACTTGATCAAGCCCTACACTTAAAATTTCAACGCTGACTTGATATTTGATAATAGGATTAAATTTTTGTTAATTTTAAAGTGTGCTGATGATAATGCATTTATATTTTTAAAAGAAAACTTTACCTTTCAGCAATCTGTACTAAGCTTCTTATAGATGCAATGGGCTGAAGGGGAAGTGGGTGAGAGTATAGGTAGAGCAAGATTAGCCATGAGTTGACAGTTTTGAAGCCTGGTGATTCAAATATAAGATTTTATTATAGTCTAGCTATTGTTATAGACATTTGAAATTTGTGTGTGTGTGTGTGTGTGTGTGTGTGTGTGAGGAAGATTGGCTCTGAGCTAACATCTGTTGCCCAGCCTCCTCTTTTTGCTTGAGGAAGATTGTTGCTGAGCTAACATCTGTGCCAATCTTCCTCTGTTTTATGTGGGACGCCATATAAAATGGCGTATCTTGATAAGCCATGCTAGGTCCATGCCCAGGATCTGAACCTGCAAACCCCGGGCCACTGAAGAAGAGCACGCGAAGGTAACCACTATGCCACTGGGCTGGCCCCTGAAATTTTTCATATTAAAAAATTTTAAAAAGGAAAGATATTAAACCAGAGTAAATTTTAATTTTTTTGATTCAAAGCTCTTTTGAAGCATATTGTATAACAAGTAGATAGCAATCTAAACCTGACATTTTTTACTTTGGGAATTTATGTTACTAATTGCCTGGATCTATACCTGCCTAACAGAATTGATCTTCCATTAAAGTTGCTGTCGATCTATTTTGATGTGACTGGGTCACAGAGCTCTTTCAGCAGAAGAAGAGGCAGAAATTATTCCATACACAGGTTTAAGGAACTGTAGGAAGCAGGAACATAAATTTGTGCCTAAACATGAATCAAGCATATCTAGGCATAAAAAATGGAATGCAGATTCATCCCATAAGTGGTATATTTTCAAGTATTGATTTGGATGCTGCTGTATTAGTCAGCAAGGGCTGCCATAAGAAAACACCATAGACCAAGTGGCTTAAACAAAGGAAGTTTATTTTCTCACAGTTCTGGAGGCTGGAAGTCTGAGGTGAGTTGGACTCTGGTGAGGACTCGCTTTCTGGCTTGCAGACAGCAGCCTTCTCCATGTCCTTGCATAACAGACAGAGTGATCTCTCTCTCTTCTTGTAGTTCTAAAGCTTACTAATCCTGTCATGAGGTTCTGGCCCTCACGATCTCATCTAACCCTAAAAACCTCCCAAAGGCTCCATCTCCAAATGCAATCACACTGGGGGGTTAGAGCTTCAACATATAAATTTGAGGGGGATACATTCAGTCCATAGCTGTTTTTTGCTTTAAAAAGGAGGAGTTTGAAAATGTCTTCTGAGAGGAATATAACATGACGCATATCTTAGGAGTGTTTTCAGAATCTGATTTCTTGACTCAGATCAGAGGCAGAAGTTCACTGGCCTAAGTTTAAGGACTCTTTCCTCAATGCAATCACTAAGACAAAGGAAGAACAAAATATCTTCTGAATGGCAAAGTAAAGCTAGATGGTCAGATATTTTCTCCATTTATGCTTGAAATGTAGTACGTTTTGGCTAAAATGAGGGCTCCATTGCAACTCAGACAACTAGATAATCCATAGCTTGTTACCTGGGCACAGACATATCTCTCCCACTGACAGCCCCAACTTTAGAGGCAGAGTTTGTTTAACAACTTCAAGGGAACGATAAGTTGCACACTGGAAGTTTGTGCATGAGCTATCCACAAGGGTGAAGAAAGACTGTTTGTAAGCTCATAGTAGATAGATACCCCAAGAAGCAAAGGAGACTTTTTGGGTAGGGCTACAATTCCTGAGTTATGCAGTTGGAGGTATGGTCCCAGGAATGTCAGTAACCCTTATGAACGCAACCACATTAGTACAATCGCCTGATCAGCTCTGGGAGAATTCTGTTACATGCAGAAAATAAAGAGCAAAAACATCCCCAGTCTGCTATGCTAATTTAGACCAAACCTAAGAAGAATACTTTTTTTAAAAAAAGACAAGAATGATAGGCAGTAATGTTAACCATTATTAGGAAAAGGAAAAGAAATATTTTGTATTTTGAATACTGTTTATGTCATTGGTATATTCCCACAGAGCATCTAATAAAAATATTTTTAAATATAGTTGTGATAGAATATTAAAAGACTGAATAGCCAAGTTATACTTCTTCCCTTATCTGCTCAACCCCAGCATCTGCCTCAGCCTCAAATTGTTGTCCTCTCCATAGGACAAGGGCTAAGCTTTGTCATGGTCACCATTGCACCTACTGAAGCAGCAGCTGCAGCAGCTCTAGCACCAAGGTCCAGTTCAATTAGAACCATGGCAGCTCTGGCTTCCCCATGGCAGGGCCCGTTAACACAGTCCAGAGATGGGTGGGTCTTAAACCCCATGGGATAAACTTTGAGCAATGAAAGACAGGTGACATAAAGAAGTGTCCTTCTCTCCCACTCTAATGGACAAGTTCAGACACAATAATGCCATATGTCCTTTCCAGAGATGCCCTGTGTGCTTGTATTCCTTGTTATTCCATTGTGAATTTGTGGCCAGCATGGTTATTCACAAACTTATATTTCTCTCTCTTCTCCCCTAGAGCATCCCTCATACTTCTTCCCTCAGTCTTGTTGCCCTGGTAATGCAGCATCCTCCCACCACCCCTTCCCTCCCCCCAAAAAAGCTCTGCCATATAAACTATACCTTTGGCTGGATTTTCCAGAAAATTTAGACTAAGACAATTGGTTACATCAGTGGCCCTACAAACAAACCCTCAGAATAAGATTTCAGGCTTGCATTCTCACTCATCTGAAGTCAAGAGAGATATATTTTTGTGGTTAATTAGGGTGAGTAATAATCCCTGGCATGCACTGGCATCATTTTTACTAAGGCTTTCAGCAGTGTTTAATTAGGAAGAAGCTCAGATACAAGGTAAGGAGTTGGAAGGTAACTGCTCTTGATTAGTAGAGAAGCAATGATAATTATAAGAAATGTTATGTGAGATGTCTGCTTTTGCCAGACTTAGAGACCTTGTGCACACGCACACGTACACACACACACACATAAAAGGCTCAGGAGAGATTGCCCCTAACCTTAAGCATGCTATGAAAAACCTCACGAATTCTTTGGCAATGGTAGAAGCAGTTCTTAGCTATTTCAGCTACAAGGAAGATTGTGCTGAAAATCAGGCCCAGTGAATGGTTATAAGGTTCTAAATGCTGCAATGAAGACTAAGTATGCAGCTTTGCGATGCCTTGACCCCTGTAAGGAAGCGTGGGACCCTGAGACCATGGGGATATTTTTGTAAATGGAATTCAGAATATCAAACACCCTTATTTCTGCTGGATAGGAAAGCAGCCCTCTCCTCTTTTGCTTAGAATGGCCTCATGCAATGACCTGGTCTCCAGCAAGTGCCTCACAAGGCGAGGCTGTTCTCCTCCACATTTGAGGCCAGGGAGGAGCATTTTGAGCAGAATTAGTTGCCAGTGCAATGGTTGGGATAAGTTTGGAGTGTTGGAGGGTCAAAGAAAAAAGTAATATTGTTGCAGATTGAGAACCACGTGACAGTATTGCTCATCTTTTTTGACAGCCTAGAAGTCAAAACTTATACCAAAGAACAGTACTTTTGTTACCAAAACAGTTTCATCATCTCCCATGAGACGACATTCTCCTGGAATTCTTCCTTTTATTAACTAAAAGTCTTCAAGTAAAACGCCCTTTAGGCCCCGATCTAGGCCCTCATGTCTTTCTACACATGCTTATTTTAGCTAGCCTCATTAATTCCTACTTTAATAATACCACCTATATGTAGACCACCAAATGTATATCTGCAGCCTAGACCCATTTTCTGGGTTCCAGACCTCTATAACCAAATGTTTACCAAACATTTCTACTTGGTCCCACAAAGACATGTCAAAGCATCGGGTCCAATATGAACTTTGCTATCTTGCTGATTGGATGAAGAGACTAATTTTACATATTTAGCCCAGAACTTATAAACCAATGAAGTCCTGGAATCACTGTGAGCATTTTACACTTATACTATGTTAAGATAATTTTCACTGGAAAATAAAAAGCTTGTAGCATGCTAGAGTCAAGTGGGTTTCACATCATTCTGACAAGGGAGTAAAAAGCATCCCTTCCTCTGAACACACTGTTTTCTCTCTCTCATCTAGAAAGGGGGACATTTCACCACCCTCACTCCTGGAAATACTCACTGGTATTAGGGATTGAGAGAAAGGAAGGGAGGTTAGACTCAATTAATCTATTCCCTGTAAGGCATATACTTTTATTGAAACTGCCAGTTAAGGTGATTTTCCTTTTTGGCTGCTGTGTCTCTTGCTTTGGCCTTATCTTCCGGATTAAGTGACTGTCAGCATTTAGGAAACAACCTGTCACTAATGTCAAGTTATGCTGTTAACTACTAACGCAGGCAGCTTGCTGGGGGAATGCTCCCATTACTAGACTCATTCAGAGGGGTAAACTAACTGTACTCCTTAATGTAAAGGAAGAAATAGTGTTACTGAAATAGAAACAATATTGAAATAAAAGAATTTATAATTTAGAAAACACCTCAGATCATAGCCTGTGTCTTGCTTCTCAGTTTCAGAGGAGATAAGTGAAAGCTACATTGGTAAATGACTTTCTTTAGGTGACACAGTTAGACAGGGAGAATTTCATTTAAATTTTCCTGGCATTTTATAAGTTGACTTTTCCAGCAAACTATTATTTTATTCTTTTGGAGCTGTGGGGAAAGAACTCACCTATAACCAAGCATGTGAAGGAGAGGATTATAATCATAACAACCATAATACTTACAAACACTATGTGCCAGGCTTTGTGCTACACACTTTCCTCGTTTGATACCATTTAATTCTTGCAAAATATATGAAATAGATGCTTGTATATTCTTGTTTCAGAGGTAAGGAAAAGGAGGCACTAGAGATGAAATAACTTTTTAACAATCGTACAGTAGTAAATGACGAAGGCACATGCTGGCAGTGGTAGGGAGATTTTCTCAAGATGGGCAGATCATATAACCAGCATGGTCAGTGGGACTGTTCTGTTGGTTACTAGGATTCCAAGCTGAGATGCAGAGACTTCAAGATCCTCATCCTAGAAAGAGAATGATAAACACTTGCAGCTCATTGTTCCTCTAGGGGTAATTAAGGGTTGTATCAACCTATGTTGTCTGCCCCAGATTATGTAAGCAATATCTACAGAGGGGAAATGAAGGGATTAGGACAAGTGTGTGTGTGTGTGTATGTGTGTGTGTTGGGGTGTGTGTCATGGACCTAATAGGAACTACCCTGGCTTTTCCCACCCATCCCTCGTGAGTGAGTTTCTCTTTTCCCAAGAAAAGCCCTGTGTGCTCCTTAAGATCGGAAGTGCCTGCCACGTTTTCTCTTTACCCTCCTTGACAGAACACATCTGGCAGTGCAGAGCCTCTAAGGCAGAATGAGTCTCCTTCTCCTCCAACGTGAGGCAGGAGAAGGAGTCATTAAAAAAAAGACCTTTCTCTCCTCATTTTAAATCCTTCATACCAAAGCCTCAAGAGTATTTGTGGAGGTGACAAGTAAAAAATCTGAACATGCAATTGAGAGTTTGAACCAGATACTAGATGATACACACTGACATACTATAATCAAAAGTAATCAGAAGATTGTGAAATCTGCTCAAGATGATAGTGAAACAGTGTTTATCATTTTGTGAGCCACAAAAAGCTACTGGGTAATGAAGAGACAAGGCGCTTGTGCCAGAATGTAAATAACCATATTTTTTTTTTTTTTTTTTAAATATGTTGGTGAAAACAATATATTAAAATGATAAAAATTAGTATGGCAGACCTTTAATAATAAGAAGAAAATAGTTATGGCCATACCTCTGCATACACAGGACTCTCCAGAGGCAACTGAGTACATCAGTTTATCCTCTGCACTGCTGGTTACTTTAACATGTTTACACATGATGGATGTGTATTTCTATGTGTATAGTGTATGTGTATGTATATACACATACGAGTGTGAGTCTGTGTCATGCGGCAGTACCTTTAAAGGACAGAGATATACATTTGAATGGGAACCATGGTGTAGGAAACAAGGAACTTGAAAATATTAAAATATTATTTACATATGTTTGATTTATTTATATTTCGAATCTCCTAGATTAAGTCTCTGTCTCTTACCTTTTACACATATTTTAAGTGATTTTATTATTTTAAAAAATTCTTGAATATTTTACCAAATCTATTTTCCCACAAATCTATTACATTTTAATTTTAGAAATCATGTTTTCATATTTCTAAAGCCATCTCACACTATTCCATTTTCATATAGTTCTTTTCAATAGAATCCAAGATCTTTGTGAACTTTTCCTAATATTTAGAGTTCTTAAATTAAAAAATATTTGTCTTCTTACTCTTTACATATCTGTTTTTTATTTTAAGTCAACTTTTCTGCCTTTTGTGTGTATGTGGAGGAAGACTGGCCCTGAGCTAACACCCATTGCCAATCTTCCTCATTTGGCTTGAGGAAGATTACTGCTGAGCTAACATCCATGCCAATCTCACTCTGCTTTATGTCGGACACCGCCACAGTGTGGCTTGATGAGCAGTGCTAGGTCCGTGCCTGGGATTCGAACCTGTGAACCCTGGGCCACCGAAGCAGAGCACATGAATTTAACCACTATGTCACTGGGCCAGCCCCTCTCCCTTTTTAATATTAGTATTTTGCCTGCAATTTCTGGCCTTTTCAAATATCTAACAAAAATTTGTCTTTTCATGGCTCTTGCCTTAGGAAAGTACAGACATATAGTAAGTAAATAAGGAGTCCTTTAAAATTAGTTTTTTTTTGTAATAATAAGAAAAGCTTGGTTACGTAGAGATTTTCTTTACAGTAAGCATGAGAGGAACTAACCCATGCATTGGGGGTTATCCAAATGTCAGAATAAGAAAGGCTATTCTTAAGTTAGCTACACCCATACTAACTGTTCACTCTTTCCCCAAAGAGATTATATAATACATCAGAAAAGAAGTCTATTTTTTTTCTTGTGGTAGGCAAATCCCTGGCTGCCCCGCAATCTCTAAATAAAGGCAGGGGTGGGAAGTGTGAATGCATAATATACTGTTATGTAAATGACATTCATGTCTTCAGTGAGTACTTCTGATTTCTGCCTCCACCTCTCACTTCTTCCCTCTGATATACCTGCTGTCTCCGAGTCCAGCATCCTGCTGGTCCAAAACCAGCTCTGCTGCTTTGTTCTTCCAGCATCCTCCAGAAGTATACAGGCTGTGACTTTCTCAAAATTTCTCCGATGTTGAGGTGTTCCTTTAAATGCTATGAAATCACGCTTATTAATTACTGTTCTATTGATTTAATATGATTGGGAAATAAGAATGTTATGAAAGTATGGATTTAGACTGTCATGTTACTCTGGAAATCACTCTAAGGATATTTATGCCTTTAAGTTTTTAACATTCTTGCAGCTTCCAGTCTAGATTGTAGAGTACTTGAAAAAGTACCTCTCCAAATCTTACAAAAATAATTTGATGTTAAAGGAGCTAATTTAAAAAAATCACAACTTTTTTTAACCCATTGAAGGGAAGAGGTCACAGAGCAACCAACTAGTCTGAAATCTTTTAAGAGATAATGTATGCAGTGAAAGAAGAAATGTGAGGACTCACTTACCCGGGGTAGATGCAAAGGTAAGATTTTAGCAGGAATAGCCGTAAATTGATGACAGCTGAGTGTGGGCCGGCAGGACACTGTGAAACCACTGGGAGCTGAAGATATTGGAGTCTGCATCCTCTTGCATAATTTCACCACAAATCCCACTGGGTGCTCACAGAAAACATTGGAAAAAACCATAAGAAGCATCCATGGGCTGCAGAGCTGGGCTAAGAGAAAGCAGCTGAGCAGGAGGGACGAGAAACTCCACTTGGATCCTCTTCCCTGTCCACTGCTGAACTAAATCCTTACTCTCTGGGAATAAACGACAACGAAGAACTGCAGCCCTCAGGGCACTGGGGAAAACTCATTACAACCGAGGGAATACATCAGAGCTAAAAAACAAACAAGCAAACAAAAATTATCCCTTGGAAAGCAGTTGGATTATTCATTGGGCCCACAACTACCGTCAGCGAAAGGGCAGCAGGATGAAAGAGGCTACAACCTCAGACCCAGGGATATTATTCAGGGTTAATATTGTGGCTTAATTAGAACGTTAGAGAATGCACTTCTAAGAGCACACCACACCATTAAGTGAAGAAACAGCATGCAGTGATCTCTGAGGCATGCCATAAAGGAAAGACCTCAAATTCAACATTGGAGAGGCCTTTCTTTAGAAAACCAACCCCACTCTAAATACAAAGTATTTCTACAGAAATTTGAAGCCTGTAGTGCACTGGTGATAACCATAGCAACGACACCACAAAACCAGCCCAACTCTTAACTATATTGACTCATACCTTTGCATTAAAGGGCCAGTGGAAAGGTATGCCCATTTCCAAGCATACATATTATTTACCTCAGTCTCTCCTCTCCTACATCTGATGTCAACAATGAAATGAAAAGATCTATATTTAAAGGCAAGAATAAACACACTAAGAAGAGACAAAGCAATAATCTGAACCAGATTCAGATATGACACAGATGTTGGAATTGTCTGACAAGGAATTTTAAATCATTATAATAAATGTGTTAATAAATGTGCCCGATGGGAGGGGAAAATTAGCAGGGAGAGACATTATGACAAAACCAGGAATGAGACATTCTTGACTGCTCTCTTCCCTGATGTGTCATGATTCAGAGAATGAAAAGAAATTTGACCTTGGATTGGTCTTCTTGGATTTTTCTTCCATTAAGTTCTCCCGCACTAGGAGCAGCTGCCCATTCTGAGCTCAGAGCATCTCTTCAACGATTATTGGTCTACCCTGGCTTGTCTGGAAACCAACTCCATCCCTCCAATTGGGCCTGGCTGCTCTATTTTGTACCAATAACTGGAGAATCTGTCAAGTTCTTAGTTGCCCTGTAGCTCCTGCTCTAAGTTCCCAACCTCTCCCTGTGGCAGGAGGCCAAACCAACTCTGTCTGTAGCCACAACACGCATTTACGGCAGCACAGTGAGTTGCAATTGAGGGGTGTTGAACCTAGCTGGCCTGGGAAAGCAGTACGGGTGGATAGAGCTGACTTTCCTTCTGGGCTGTCTCTGTCTGTCCCTTACCTGTCCAATGACCCATGCTCCTCCCACCAAAAAGTAACAAAATCAGGATTGTTTAACTGTTCATTGCTTTGTGTCTTAATAAACAATTTTCAGTGGCAAAAAAAGGCTCTAATCAAAAAGATGAACAACACAAAAGATCAAACGTGTGGCTTCTGCAGAGGGATGGAAACTGAAAAAAGAATCAAACAGAAATGGTAGAAATAGAAACACAGCAACTGAGATGAAGAATGCCTTTGATAAGCTTATCAAAAATTTGAGGCAGCCAGGGAAAGAATCCGTGAATTTAAAATGAGGTCAATAGAAATTATACAAATTGAAACACAAAGAGAAAAAGAAAACAATAGCAAAATTCATGACCTGTGAAACAATACTAAATGTTCTAACTTAGGTGTGATTGAAATCCCAAAAGGAGAAGGAAAATTTAAAACAATAATCACAGAGAACTTTCCAAAATTAATGACAGACAACATAGCATATATGAAGAAGCTCAGAGAAGATCAGGCAGGGACAAGCAAACAAATATCTTAAGCACATCATATTCCAATGCTAAAAACCAAAGACAATGATAAAATCTTAAAGGTAGCCAGAGAAAAAGAAATATGAACACAGAAACAAAGATAAAAATATCAGAAATTATGCAAGCCAGAGATAATAGAGGAACATTTTAAAATACTGAAAGAAAACAATTCAATTTTCCTACATGGAAATCTATACTTTCAACCCCAGAAATCTATACCCAGAGAAAATATCTTTTAGAAAACAAAGGGTAATAAAGCTTCCCTCAGAGAAACAGAAGCTCACAGAACTCACTGCTTGTGAACATTCTCCACAAAAATGTCAAGAATATTCTTTGAGCAAAAAAAATATGATGTTAGATTGAGATGTGGGTCTACAAAGAAATGAAGAGCTCTGGAATGGAATTAAATGTTAAAGACATTTTACTCCTTTTAAACACTATTAAATATAACTGCGTGTTTACAGGATAGGTAAAAGTCAAGGCCACGATAAAAATATCAAAGGGATGGGGAAGAGGATTGGCAATATACCACGGCAGGAGCCTTCACTAAATATGAGGCAGTATATTATTAATTGATTACATGGAGATGTATATTGTACATGCTCAGACAACCACTGAAATTTAAGTCAATAGAGGACATAAAATGGGATAACACCCAATAGCACTGGAAAATGCTTAAAAAGAGAAAAAAGAAACAAAAAACAGATGGAATAAGTATAAAACAGCCAACATGGTAGATTTAATCTAACCATGTTTCAAATCACAAAAAAATAAATGATTCCTTTCTGTAACTGGCTTATTTAACTTAGCATAATGTTTTCAAAGTCCATGTTGTCGCATATTGCAGAATTTCCTTCTGCATTAAGACTTAGTAGCATTCCACTGTATATACAGACCACATCTTCCTTATCCATTCATCTTTTGATGGACGCTTAGATTGTTAGTGCATCTTGGCTGTTGTGAGTAATACTGCAATGAACATGGGAGTGCGAATATCTCTTCAAGATCCTGCTTCCAACTATATGATGCATCTAAAAGAGTCGAATTCACAGAATCAGCTAGTGGAATGGTGGTTGCCAGGGGTTGGGGGGAGAAGGAAATGATGAATAATTAAACAATGGGCATAAAGTTTCAGTTAAACAAACTGAATAAGCTCTAGAGATCTGCTGTGTGACGCTGTACCTACAGTCAACAATAATGTATTGTACACTTAAAATTTTATTGAGAGGGTAGATCTCGCATTAAGTGTTCTTACTACAATAAAATAAAATGTAGAAGAGTAAATGAGTCCAACACTTCATGCAAACTACTGGGATTATCAAATTTGATTTAAAAATTAGCTAACTGTATGCTATATGAAAGAAACTCACTTTAAAATTAAAATTAAGATTAAAATTAAAAGATAGAGGAAGATATACCATGCAAAAACAAATAAAAAAAAAAACTGTAGGGCCAGCCCGGTGGTGCAGCGGTTAAGCACACCTGTTTCGCTTCGGTGGCCCGGGGTTCGCTGGTCTGGATCCCAGAAGCGGACATGGCACCGCTTGGCAAGCCATGCTGTGGCAGGCATCCCATATATAAAGTAGAGGGAGATGGGCACAGATGTTAGCTCAGGGCCAGCCTTCCTCAGCAAAAAGAGGAGGATTGGCAGCAGTTAGCTCAGGACTAATCTTCCTCATAAAAACAAAAACAAAAACTGTAATAGTAATATTAATGTCCAACAAATTGGAATTCATTAAAAGGAACACTATCAGGGATAAAGAGGGATATTACATAATAATAAAGGAGATTATATCTCTAAGAAGACATGTAAATCCTAAATGTGCATGCATCTGAAAACAGAGTATCAAAATTCATGAAGCAAAAGCTTTTAGAAGTGAAAGGAGAAGTAGGATAATCCACAATTATATGTGGAGACTTTAACATTATCCTCTCAGTAATGCATGGAATAAATGCACAGAAAAGCAGGACTGATACAGAAAAACTGAATGACGTCATCAAGTAACTAGTCCTAATTGAGTTTTATAAAATATTTCTTCCTCAAACAGCATAATATACTTTCTTTTAAAGTGAATGTAAAACACAGAACATTCACTAAGAAAGATCATATTCTAGGCCATTAAAAAAAAACTCGACAGATTTAAAATAAATCAACCAAAGTATGTTCTTTGACACACAACAGAATTAAGCTGGAAATTAAAAGCAAACACTTATCTGGAAATTTATCAAATATTTGAAAATTATCAACGTACTTTTAAACAACCATTACATCAAAGAGGAATTCTCAAGGGACATTTTAAAACATACATAAACTGAATGAGGGGTTGGCCCCATGGCCTAATGGTTAGGTTCTCTCGCTCCGTTTTAGCAGCTCAGGGTTTTGCTGGTTCGGATCCTGAGCGTGGACACGGCACCTCACATCAGGCCATGCTGGGGCGACGTCCGGCATGCCACAACTAGAAGGACCCACATCTAAAATATACAACTATGTACTGGAGGGATTTGTGGAGAAAAAGTAAAAAAAAAAAAGAAGATTGGCCACAGTCATTAGCTCAGGTGACAATCTTTAAAAATAATAATAATAACAAATAACCTGAATGAAATGAAGAATATTAAATATTAAAATTTGCTGGATGCAGCTAAATCCTTGTTTTGTATGTGTGTGTGTGTATTTGTTTATATATTATATACACATATTTGTGTCTGTTTATGGAGTTTATTAATAAAATGACAACGAAAAATAAAAATAAAATATTTGTTTTATCATTCATTACTTTCAGAATTATTTGATCTTTATTTTAATGTCATAACATGAATCAATGTTTGATATTCAAGATAAAACACATTCTCACATGTGCGGTGTGTGTTTGTGTGTGCACTGAGGGAACTAAATTATTACTTGAAAGGCCTTTCAATTTTTCCCATGTGTGTAAAGGTAAAAGCTTGACATGCATTAATTCAGCACTTCTTGTGACCATATACATCGTCTCTTACTCTTAAATTATGAGAGTAAATCACGTATATGATACATAATTGCATATGTATATGATACATCAATTATACATCTGTAATTACAAATAAAAATATTTGCACATATATATATTTTCAAGATAAATATAAAATTTACCCTAGGTAGCTATTAAATACAGAGAAACAGGATTTTTGTAGCATCTAGAGATTCGTTCATTCATTCCTTCAACAAATATTTCCTCACCACATAATTTCCAAGCACATGTCTAAGTCCTGAAGATTCAGCAGTGAACAGAGCAGTACTTTTATGCATCTCATAAAGATTTACATTTTAAAGGGGGAGAGCAAAAATAAAAATAAAAAAGGATATGATACAGTATATTTGAAAGTGATAAACACTTATGAAAAAAGCATGCAAAGGTTATAAGGATTACAGTAGTGCACTAGAGATTGTTGCTCTAGTTTTATTTAGAGTGGTTAGAAAATGCCTCACTGAGAAAGGAGCTTTTGAAGAAAGTCAGGGAGCAAGCTGTATGGACATTTGAAGACAAGCATTGCCTATGGCCAGAAGAACAGTAAGTTCAAAGGCCCTGAGGCGAGGAGGGAGGGGTGGGGGTGAGGGGTGTATTTTCTAGAATATCTGGGCGATGCCATGAGGGTGGAGGTTGGGAGGTGCTGAGTGAGAAGGGCACAAGAGATCAGAGGCTTAAGGGTTGAGGGGAGGGAGCCAATAACATAAGGCCTTTAAGCTTTGCAGGAACATAAAAAAACCTGGAACATTTTCTTCAGCCCTAAAAAAGTAAGATCAAGAAGAAATATATAGATGCCTAAAAAATGCTCTTTCAAAGAGACTGCTATAATCAGCCTTCATTTACACGTTAATACTCAGGAGTCGTTGCTGAATGGTTACTGATAAATTACACTTAAAGGAGTAGAACAAAGGCAAGTAGACTTGAAGTAAGTTTGATATAGCAAAAGCCCAGACACGTTTCCTTACAGGGAGAGCTATTACAATTAAAATGGGGATAAAAAGGAGATTTTTATATGTTCCTTTTTAGAAGTAATATGGTAATCCTTAAATAAAACAAAAAGATTCTTAAAGTTGTTTTTGAATTAAACTCAAGGATTCCACGACTAATTTTATTAAAAATATTTGTTTCCAAGCTTGAAATTCTCATGATGAAATAATAATGGATAGAATATCTTTTCTCCATTATGGAATAAACTGTGATCAGAATTTACCCAGGATGTTCTTTGATATGAAAACTCTGGAACAAGTATGAACCAGAAATTAGTGAACATAGAAAAAAATTGGTTTAATATCCAAAAATATTATGCTAAGATATTTAATTTTTGTAGTTGAATTGCAATATATATTATAAAATAAATAGCAGATGGAAAGTTTACTAGTCCAATAAAAGCCATGGGAGAAAAGAAGCTTTTAGAATTAAGTGGAATGAGGATTTTCCCTCTGGCTTGAAGCCGGAGTGAGACATTTTCAAAATGCAAATCAACTTTGTCTTTTCCTCATTTTTAAATATTTTCAAAACTTTGCATTGCCCTTAAAGTAAAATTAAAATTGCTTAATATGGTCATATAGAAGTCATAGCCTGTTTGTCTTGCCTGTCTTATTATTCTCCATCCCTACCTCTTACCTCCTCTAATATTCTAAGTTACAGTTATATTGAAACCCACTCAGTTACAAGCATAAAATGTCTCCTCCAGCCTGTGAATTCTCAAACTAGCATTTTTCCTCTGTCTCAAACAGTTTTGGCCTTTCTACTTCAGTTATCAGATTAAATATAATCTTTCCTGACTATCTGTAGACTGGTGTGGCTAGATAATATTTTTAGATATAAGTTGGGAAGCTTTTTTTTTTTTCCTGCCTAATTGCATTTTCTTCTTTTTCCTTCTCCATAATTCTTGGAATAGCAGCTCTCATGCCTTTCTGCCTCAGGGGAGTTGTCTGCCAGGGTAAAAAATAAGTAGAACAAGTCAGCAGGACTTTTGGGCTTTTGTCTTCAAAATCTTAAAATCACTGAGGAAGAATAGGTTTTCAGTAAAAAGGGAGTATATTAGAAAGAGTAGAAGAAAGAGAGTGGGCCCTGTCAGTAATTATCTGAAAAACTTATGCTGGGAAGAGAGAAACAAGAAAGGAGTGTTGGATCTCTAGTTCTCAGCACCTGGATTTCGTCCTCTGCCATTGGCCAAGTAAGACCAACAGTAGAGATGGGTTATGCCCTGAAACACCTTTGGGCTACAGAAGGTGCAAGAACTGTAATAGTGCTCATCATAGGTACCCAAGAAATATTCTTTGGCTGAATGGTTGTACCAGAGTATTAACCCAGAGCAGAACATATTTACAATTAATGAGACAGCATTTCTTAAGGGCCTGGAGGCATTGAAGGCTGGTAGGAAAACTTGAATTAATTATAGGAAATAAAGTGACATTTCTTATACACGGGCATTTGGAGACAGAGCAATACCACTAGAGTAGTATATGGTCACATAGCAACCTATTACTATTCTAATAGAATTTACCGCATTTTATGTCTATTGCTTAATTGTGTTTTCCTCTAGAAAGGAGACTGTTCCCAACTCTATGTTGCTATACATTTTATTCCCAAATGTCTAACAATAAATGGCAGTTAAAGATCTTGTGTTTAGAGAACTGGATAAGAGTCTATGAATTAAAAGTTTGAACACCTGGAAGGACTTTCCACTCAAATAACATCAGTGTTACCATAAATTTTAAAAACCATCTATTTCAGAGTTTTATACCAGCCACCTAACAATCTCTCCACTCTATGTAGCCCATCCTCCTCTTTTTAACACAGCATCCAAATACTGTGCTGGCAATGGCTTTGTCAAACATTCAAAGTAGCGCATACATTTTTATTTACTCTCTTCTGTATTAAAGGATAATATTCTCCCTGATTAGATTTTAAACCCAGTAGGAAATAAACATGCATATGAAGATCAATTCAGAAGACCACATATATCTGTGGGCAAGTGGCCTTCATAATATGCGGACTCCACTGTAGGGCTCCCACTTTCCGGTCCCGTTCCCTATAAAACTTTCTCATGAGGAATGGGTAGGAATTGTGGTAACCTGCAGGCAGGGAGCTACGAGAAACAAAATGATTGATCCAAGAATCTCCAGTTCGTTATTCCCCAATTTACCAGTCGCATACGTGGGAAATCAGGCTCATTTTACAATTACTGAAGGCCAAGCAGCAGGTGGAACTCGTTGTCATTGTGTGCGCATTAGAATGAAACTTTTAAGATCCCTGTTAGCACTGGGAAGAAAATTCTGGAAACAATAGGAAGTGCTATCTTAAGAAATGTGGCAAATCAACTTTCTTGATGTCCCAGAAGATAGTATTTTTATGGAGAAATATGAACATTGATGACTCCGAGTGAAAAGAAATTTTAGACATACCTTA